TTGAGAAGACCATCGTTGACATTAAGGAAAAGGCGGACCGGACCATTATTACCATTGCGCACAGAATTTCGTCCATTAAGAGATCCGACAAAATTGTTGTTTTTAACAACCCAGACCGCACCGGCTCCTTTGTACAGGCCCAGGGAACGCACGAGCAGCTCCTATCCGTGCAGGACGGCATCTATAAGAAGTACGTCAAGTTGGCTAAGTAGAGGTGAAACCGGGGGAGTGCACAGGTTGTATGTATGTAGCGTGTGGTATGTATGTAGCGTGTGGTATGTATGTACCATGTGGTATGTATGTACCATGTGGTATGTACGTACCACGCAGCTCGTACGGTATGTACGTGTAGATCTCTCCAATAGCACATCCGCCTCGTTACGTGTGGGGGTGGCCCCTTCTGCTTGTATAATGACATAGACCCACTCTGCGCCGTACCCCCGCGCAAGATTCCGCATCCGCCCACGGCTAGGAAGTGCAAATGAAAATGCGAAGTGCAAAAAAGAAAATGCCGAGTGCAAATGCGAAGACGAGGCCTGGCCTGCTACCCATGGGCATAATCCGCTCATGCACGCTCGCGCGCACGGGGTGCCACATCCCGGTGTAAAAAATGTATATACAATTGTTTATAAAAAAAAATGTTGCGCCCACTGCTACGAACGAACCCTTTGAATTGTCTACCCAGCTTATTCATGATGTGTTTTCAGGGACCAATTCCCCTTTTTTGTGTGTAAAAAATATTTTTCACATATGATGAGCAATATGAGTGAAGGCGCCACGTGCATTTGCATAATAACATGTGCCTACGCATGTGTACGCACTTGGAAATGTACGTGTGCATTTACATTTACTTACATATATTTTCCCCTTTTTTTTTTATGGTTATGATTGTTTAACTGAATTCTTTTTCAAATTTGAGAATTTGCCAATATATAGAACAGTTTTGTACACATTACTTTTTGGACCACTGTGCAAAAAGAAATTACTGCATTGAAAAAAGAGATAAGCTTTTCCGCTTACGCCCAATCGTGGGCCCAGGGCGAGCCAAACCCAACTTAACCGTAGTAAACCGATTTAACCGCCCGCATGGGTTAGCCTTTGCCCTAGTTATTAGACGCATCATTTAGCAAACATACCGTCTGTGCGCTGTTTTGCTCGTCACCACGAAGAGGGTAAAAACTTTACCTGCATGGGAAACAAAATTTGCACCATCGCACATCCCCCGGGGGAGAACCAATTTGGATCTTCAAAAGAAAAAATGCGCATTTTTTCCGTTTCGCTTATTAATTTTACGATGTTATAACCATTTGAGGGTGGGTAGGTGAAAAAGAAACGGTAAGAGGAAAAAAAAAAAAAAAAAAAATGTACCAAATGGGTAATTCCACTCCTTGTCAAGGTACTCACATCGGAGGACTGCAATTTGCATGTTCTCATTAAAGCATATTTTGGATGTTTCAGTTCGGTGCCTTTAAAGAGCCGCTGCACGGGGGGTGGGGGTACGACCCCACACGCCTTTATACGGGCATCCCGTGAGAATACTTCGTGCATGTGGATTTTCATACCGGTAAAAAACCATCTGTGCTTACATCTCTGCATGGCGCACAAATTTGTACATATACCCCCCGAGGGGAAGTACTAAAAAGTAGGAAGCAGAAAAAAAAAGTAAAATGCAGAAAAAAATGAAAAAAAAGGGGGGTGCAGGAGGACAACCCTTTTAGCCCAAAATTTTGCATATCTCGTCGTAGTGAGGAGAATGGTTAATGTTGCCATAGACAACAACCGTTGGCTTGGTTTTCAAAAAGTGGCCTACGATCCGGTTTATGTCTTCCTTGGTTACTGCATCTATAGCGTCACATAGTTGTTTTCCGGAGAGAACACGATTTAGAATCATCATTTGTCTAGCCAAGTCTTCCATTAGTATGGAATTATACTCTAAGCTCATCCACATAAAGCTTTTCAAACTTTTCTTTGCTCTATTTAATTCTTCATCGGTAACTTTATTCATTTTTTGAAACTCCAAAGCCATGGCATTTATTATGTCCATGGTGTTGGCTGGCTCCCCAGTGAAGTATAGTCCGAATAAACCGGTATCTGAATGCTGTGTACTAAAGGCCATACAAGATTCTATGAAATTATAATTGTTCAGAACATTTAGGAATAGTCTAGAGTACATTCCTTTTCCTGGTCCTCCCGTGGAGAAAGAGCCACCCCCACCCATGAGGGTTTGCAACACAGTTAGTGTAATCATATCTGATGTTTTCCAACCACCTTTCGTTTCGTACGCTATAGCAATGTTGGTCTTTTTAACATTTTTATCTTCTACGCTTATAAACCCACCTGTATATTTTGGAGTCACTTCCTTCTGACTTGTATATGGTATGGACACATAATCTTGAAATGCTCTGGAGGTCCATTTGGTTAATTCCTCGTGGTCTACATTGACACCAACTAGGGTCATATTTTTTGGAGAAAAATGTTTGAGCATAAAATTTCTTAAATTACTGGCAGTGTAATTCTCTACGCTGGATTCACAGACATACATCTTATTCCCTAAGGTGTTATTGTACCATGCGGTGTTGTGGAGAAGTTCCGTTATGTACAGTTCGTTGTTTTCAAATAACTTGGTACGCATGGTGTTGAGTCGATTCACATTGTTTTTCATTTCCCACGATAGGAATCGCGGAAATAAGACGTTTCCGATTAGTAAGTTTGTCACTACGGGTAGGTACTCCTTCAAACATTCGCAGGTGTATACGATATGCTCACGAAACGCGTTGCAGCTTACGTTGGCCCCTATTTTTTCCAGCGATTTGATTGTCCTCAGGTGGGACAGGTGCGCAGTGCTGTGGAACGCCATGTTTTCGAGCATCACGCTCATGCCCTGCTCGTTCACCTGCTCGTTTATTTCTTCGTACCTGGACCCGCACTTCACGTACAGGCCTGTCGGGGGGGAAGCGGTGATAAGTGGTGATAAGCAGTGGTAGGCGGTGATAAGCGTTGCTACGCCGTGGTAAGCGATATTAAGGAGTGTTGGGCATGGATAATCCCGGATAATTCCGGATGGGCGCTATTACGTGCTGTTAAACGCTGCGCACGAACACACCAAACTGTCAACGCAGATATATGCAATCCAGTAAGGAGGACCCCCCTTCGAAACCACTGCGCGCTGCTCACGACCCTTTCTTACCTATTGAACAGACGCTGTTGTTCTTGTTGGTGGAAATAATCCTGAGGTCATTTTCCAAAACTGAGAAATGTAACTTCTCGTCAACCTGCTTGAAGGGAGGCAACTCCGACTCTTTTATGACAGCAATGTTCAGGGGAATGTCTCTATAGGTGTTTTTCTTCCCTTCATTAAAATAGTAGTAATCAAATTTCACTTCCTTAATGATGTCTTCAATTTTCTCCTTCTTGAAAGCCACTTTTGCCAAATTCTGTTTTTCCCCTGAGTATAACTTTTCTAAGTTGGGATTTCTCTTCAGTTTTAGGGCTTCACTACTGTATAGTTGTTTCCCCAGTTTGTTCCTACACAGAATTATTTTGAACTTCTGTACGTTTCCGTTCATTTTTGTGTGTGATTTTTAAGAGATATAAAGGAAACGGAAGGGATAGGCCCCAACTGCTGCGGCAGTAAGTTACGAGGTGGCAACAAGAATCGCTCCGGTGGTTACACGGGTAAGCGGATATCTGTTTGTTGGTACATATGCCGCTACTCACACACGTGCGCAACTCTATCTTGTGTGCGCCTTCGGCGGCATGTTCACATGGAGTCAGTCTCCAAACAATGGCAATAGTAGTGGTCCTTTCCGCGGGACAAAATGTACACTTTAAACAACAGTAATGACGGGGGAATGCACTGAAAATTTATTCCTTCCTTTTTCTACAAAAATGGAAGAATCGCATACGCCTTTTCTTCTTTTTTTTTTCTTCCCTTTATTTTTTCCTTTGTGTTTTTTTCTGTTTCTTTTTCTTTCCTACTTCCTTTTACCTATTTAATTGAGCACATATCATAATAAATGAACGATGGGCTTATATTTGGGGTTATAAAAAAAATGGGGGGAGAATTAAACATTTTGGAGTACATATCTCCTTACAGCGAGGAGGGTTAAGCATAATACTACTTCTTCTTACCACATTACATGTTTAATCACATTTTGAATAAGGATTGTGCCTTTACTCAACAGGGCACAGATAAGCCTTTCATTTCACCATTTTTTTGAAAAAAAAATTGGTGTACTATTTTAACGTAGAGCAGCAAAACGGTAAAGAAATAAAAAAAAAATAAAGTCAGCAGCGATGTATGCAGGGTGAATCACTCCACAACGCGGTAGGCATACGTAAATTGGTTTATATATATACATGTGCATATATAAATTCAGTTATGCGTACCTTTATGTGTTCTTGCCTACCGCTTATATCCGCCTATATATGCTTGAGGAAGAATAAATTTTGTTGTGCTGGGCTGAACATGCTGCCCGCTCATCCCGTTGCACCACACAGTTCTGCAGATGAACGCCGGTTGGGGAAAATACAGATCGCGCATACCACCTGCTCATTTTGCTTCATAGCCTTTCTGACGGCTCAACATTGGTCAACTGCATACAGTAGGAGGGATATACAATTGTGGGCGTTTTTCCGTTCCTCACAGTTTTGTTAACTTCGGGGTAAATTCATTTCTCCCGCGGGGAAAGTGCCTGTGTAGGCGTATGGAAGAGAAAGCGCATTTATACTTGGTCAGCGGCGATGTATACAAAATGAACCTAGTACGTAAAAGGCAAACCGTGTGACATTCCCCGGAGTGACACATTGGTCTTACCGCCCTGCGTGACCCTACGTATACACATATATCGACTTGTGCAGGGGAAAACCTACATGCAACTGCCCCATTTTTCGCCACCTCCCGTTTATACGGCCACTTCACATGCCATTGCACCGCACAAGTGGACAAAATGATACGGACAACGCAAGCCGACCTCACGGTGTAGAAAAAAGCAGCAATTATGAGAAGGATAAAAAATGAATTGTTCCGCAGCAACAGTCACACACTCTTTGATTTGAAGCAAAGCGGCTGTTTGGGTTCCCTATGGGGAGGAAACATACATGGGGGAGGGGCCCATTTTTTGAAGCGCTGGAGGGGGGAAAAACACACCTTCGCAGAAAAAACGAACCCCAGATATGAAACGAGGAAGAGGGGAATTGGATCACCACTTTTTAACGGCATACCTGGTGATAATTTTACGAATGCCAAAACAGCATCATTTGGTGATGCTCCCCAGAAGGGGAAAATTGGTGAACTTCTTAAACATGCCGTGCAATACGTTAAGGCCCACGGGGGGAAACGAAGCAAATTGAGTGACAACGCACTGCGCGTAGTAGAGCGCATTTTTAAGAACAACATACTCTTCCACAATTTGAGCTTTATCCATTTTAATATGCTCCTGACGGTTATTAGCAAGGGGGAAATAAGAATGAGTAAGGAAATGCAAAACGGCATTCTGCATTTACTACACAGGCATATTTCGTCCTACCCAAATGATATTGACAATACGGGTTCTGCCTGGATTAACATAGCACATTTACTTTCCAGCATCTGTAGAAATGATAAAACTATGTTACGTTTAATTAGGAAAAAGGATCAGAATGCAACGAATGAGGACATAAAAAAAGAGGCAGATCTTTCGTTTGTGGATAAATTTGTACGTAGAATATGCAAACGGAACGATTTCAATTATTCGATAAGAGAAATTTCTTTACTCTTGCACAGCTGTTACCACTTAAATATCAGAAGTTACCAACTGTTTGATGCCATTTTTGATGAGCTACAAAAAAAGGAACACCATTTTAACTGTCTAGATGTTCACATTTTTGTGTACGCGGTTTACAAATTAGAACTGCAAAGGTATGCTCCATTTTTGGAGGAGTTAAAAAAGAATATTTTGCAAAACATACACCATTTCTCAAGCGGACAGATGGTAAATATATTGTTAGCGTATACGTACTTCTACCTCAAGGAGGGAGGGGCGAATGGGAAACTTCCTTTGAAGATAGATCCGTTCATGAGTATCATTTATGACACGTGTTGGCATATGGTAAGCAATTTCTCCAATAGAGAATTTTGCAACTTCCTCAATTTTATTGTACAAAATGAAGTTAGCTTAACTGATGAACAACGGTCTGAGATGTTTGGCATCATTTTTAATCTCCTAAAGAGTCAACACAGAAACAGATTAAAGCTTAACCAGATGATCGACTTGGACGTTTTCACGATAGTAAATTTTGCTTACAAGTATGGGAACTGCGGAACCACATCGTACATGAAAGATATGCCCTTCGAGCATTTGGACCATTTGACTACCCAATTAATTAGGAAGAACAAATTTGCACCAAATTTGCTTGTCTACCTGCTGCACTTTTACAAACAGAGAGTGGCTAACCACACACAGCTACATTTTTTGCAGCACATTTGTGTCAACTCCCTCGATTTCAAAATGAAAGTTATCCTACTAACTTCACTGGAGAGGTACCTAACAATGGGGATAGAAATTCACAGGGGAGTACCACAATGCAGATTTTGCATTAAAAAATATTACCACGATTTTGTGAAAAGCGTTTACGATGACCTGTCCAGGGGGGAAAGTACACGCACTGGAGAGAGCACAATGGACACCTCTCTGAGGCCAAACGGCAGTACCAACATGGCCGTAACCTACAACAGGGTCGTAATCTCCAGCACGGACATTAAAGAAATATTAAAATTCATTAGAAGTACAACTCAGAATGGCGATAACAATCATCAGCATTCTGGCGGTGAGTCGTCCGGCACCTCCGTAGAAAGGGAGACAATCAAATGGGAACGAATGCTTCTCAATAGGGCCAGCGAATACGCGACGAAGAATAAGCTAGTGGAGTTATTCCCTCTCATCCTGGTGAATAGGCATGTGCGCGCGGATATCTGCAGCCAAGCGGAGGGAATTATAAACGATCATTTTGAGAACCTGAATGAGTATTTGCTAGTCTATGAAGGAAGCTCAAATGGTATGAATAGGTACCAAAAAAGTAAAAACACTTTCCATTTTTTCCACGCGCTAAACTTATGTAATGAATGCATTTTCACTAACAGGGGCGGCGGAGATGTCAAGCAGTTTGTGATCAAGAAGAAATTTCTACTGCGCTGTATAGATCTCACGTCTATCAGCGAAGAAAATAAAAAATATTATTTCGAGTTACATGTACATATGCTCCTATTCGATATAAACAACAATTTAGACTTTTTTACCAACCACCTGCTAGCCAAAATTTCGAATTATCTAGGGACCCCTAATTTGAGTTATGAAAACATTCTTGTAAACTGTGTCGATATATTTTCTTCCATAATCAAAGTGCAACCCATTTATTACGACGCTTACCTGAGCCAGGTTTATAAGTACATATTTCATCCACTTCTTTGTCACTATGAAAAGTTAGACTGTAAACATTTGTCTCTTTTATTCTATGCCAATTTAGTTCACTTACTTTTACATTTGTATAAGCGAAATATGCTTTTGTCCCACATCACTTTATCCATCCGATTGATGAAAAAATTGTTTAGCCATATTATAAACTCTATGGATGAAGCCACCTACAAGTTAACAGAGGCACATTGTGCAGAACTGTCCGAATGCCACACGAGGGATAGAGACAGAAAAGGGACACCATCGTTACTTCTACCTTTGAACGATTTAATTTACATCTATAGAGTGCTCACAATTTTTCACTTTGCGGATTTGTACGCGCACATGGATGTGCAGGAGTTAAAATGCTTTTACGCGTTTTACAAAGCTTTGAATTTTTCCATTTTCAATGTGCACAACTTCTGCGTGACCGAGTTTACGCAGACGAATAGAGGTGAGTGCCGGTCGCCCTCGCGCAGGGAAACCCACCCCTGTAAATGAGCGACGCATTTGTAAATGAAAAACGCATTTGTGAAGGAACAACGTCTGTGTAAATGAGAAACGCCTGTATAAGTGAGAAATGCTTGTGTAAATGAACAACGCCCTTGTAAATACGCATAGGTATGAACGTCCATATCTATCCACACCCATGCATATCCGCCGTTCCTCCCCCCCTTAGGCGCCTCGAACGTGCATACCGCCGTAGTGAACTCCCTGAATGGCCTTTTCAAGGCAAACAAACGCGTAAAAATTATATGCGAACAAGTTGTGTTCCCGTTATTTATAATAGACATTTTAATTGACAGAAATTGAGCATCTGCACCCCTAACTTGGTCCCCTTTTTTTTTTTTTTGTGAAATTAAAAAACTCTTTTAAATTCATTTTTAATAAAACTTGAATGTTTGCAATGTTATCATAGTTCGTTTTTCGGAAAAGACTTCAACACCTCTTTAAATTTTATCCATTGCAGCAGCAGTAGCAGCAACAACAAAAAAAAAAAAAAAAAGTGAGAGAAAAAATAAAGCCATTCAAATGTGCACACACTTGAACAGATGCACGCCATATCACTGGTTAGTTAGAAAATGTAAAAATGCGATCGTTGAAGGGTGGGAACAAATGGGTGATGCTTCTTCCTGACGGATTTTCTTTAACTCCGTTTCTGCCCATCTCCGTTCTGGCCAATGATTACATTTTCCTCCATTCTACATCGTTTTAGGAGCAAACTTCTTCGAAAGGTTTAACTTTTTTAATTCTCTTCGTACGCCTCATCGTAGGCCTCGTCCCAGGTCCACTTGATCAGTGGCTGCTCAATAAACTGATGGTTTGGGGCAGGCTTATCAATAACATCATTCAAATAAAAGGACATGTATGGGATGACTGTTCCATCTCGCATCCGTGTGTACATTTTGCTTAACTGGCTGTCCATAATTTTCAAAACTCTCCTAGCCATATCGTCCTTTTCGGAAAATCTCAGTTTCTACGAAGGGGTATAGATCGTGCAAATAAAAAAAGGCACATACGTACGTCTGAACATATGTTCCCTAAGAAGGAGGCGCGTAAAGAATTTTCCTTGGGGGAGAAATGTATTCACTGTCTACACACAACGGGGGAAGACGCAAAAGTGAAAAATAAATGTTGCTGCCTTCTCTCGTCAAGTACCGTCACTCTTCCCAGGCAAAAGTTGGTTTCCTCAATGTACCTATTGTACAAGGGGGGATGGAAAAAAAGGAGAATTAGGGCAAATACACGCATGTTTATCTTTACATAAGCTCGCATACGTGCACTTTCCAACGTGAAAAGCTCTCTCCATGCGCGCACCATACACGTTCGATCACTCTGCACGTACCAGTTGTCATCTTTTTTTACCAAGTCCTTGTCAGATATGTGCTTCCCTGTGTACCCACTGAAAAAGCACTTTGAACTGTTCAGATAGTTCAATTTGATATTTCTCAACTTTGAAATTTTCATTCTAAAAGCCTTAGGATGAGCATTTATGGAATAGTAATATGGAGGCTACAACTTTATTGCTTTGTTTTCGCTTGTTTTCAGAAAAATAGATAAAATGGGAGAAAAAAAAAATCCTTTTATGCCATTTTTACCTGACTCGTTCTTATAAAAGAAAAACAAAACGATCGTAAAAGAGGAGGAAATAAAACTGCAAACGCGAAATATTCAACAGGCTTGAGGTTACCAATTTGGGATGTTTTAAAGGTGTATGCCCTTTTTTGCGGTTACAATAGATTGGAAAAAAAAAAAATAATGAATTTATATGTATACACGCACGTAGGTACGTACATATGCGAGTACATTTGCACCCTTTCGGAATAAAAGATAAGAATTCTACAGAAGATTGTATACTGGCGATGCGCTTTTAAAATGGAGACAATTTTGTGCCGCGTTTACCTTTTATTTGCGTCGAAATGGTGTGGGAAATACATATGTTTGCACAAGATTACATATATAGATGACACATTATCAGCCATGCATGACCACGCGCTTCAGACGAGGAACGAATGTGATGCCGATGAGAAGCAGAGCGCGCCAACTTCCCGATCGCTCCTTTAATACAACACTAGTAAAATTAGAAAAATGGAGAATTCTGTGCACAAACAGATGCTGTCCCTTCTCACATATTCACCGATCACATGGGGGGGTGGGGCAAAATTAATCACTTTTGTGTGTCCGTTTTTTTTTTATTTTATACATTTTCTATTCATGTTTATGCATTGAGTTCGAAACAAACGCGCATTTTCTTTGCTTCGTCTATAGGCCCGAATTGCATCGTTTTATGAATGAGGTGGGAGTGGGGAAACCAATTCTGCGTGTCCAAATGTTTCGAAATGATGGTAAAACGCCGACAGTTTAGCCCTGACGGGGATACGGTAAAGGGAAAGTCCACGGGAGTGGAAATGAAAGAAGGCAAAACGGGACAGATGCAGTGGAAGAAAAACTGAAAACCGGAAAGGAAAAAAAAAAAAACGTGACAGCAGTAATTTGTACGTTTCTCAAAAAAAGTGAAGAACTGCGTTGAAATGGTTTTTGTTCAAAGGTGAGAGCAAGTGACATTATCTTTCCTGAAAAGTTGGATGAGTACTGAGTTCGACATTTGGTTTTTTCTGGCCACACGTGACAGAAAAAAGGTCACAAAAAAAAGACCATGCTTTTATCATTTTCATGGATTTTTTCTACAATCTGTTCCGTTAAAAATCCACAAATAAAGGCTCCTTTTTCAAATTTTCCTTTCCTCTTCCATCAGCGAAATGTGAGAGGAGTATCCTCCAACATATTTTCATAACCCAAGTTTGACTTTCCTTCCCCTTGGCGCTTTAATTTTTCGCATTACGCGGTTCATCGTGTGGCACATTTTTGTGGCACATTTTGTGGTACACTGTGTGGTATATTTTAAGTTATTTTTTTTCGTTTTTTCAGTTATTCAACGTTATACTTCTCACTTGTTTTCCTTTCGTATAGTTTTTAACTTGAATTTTTAACTCCCTTTTTTTCTTAAGTGTTTTTTTTTTTTTCATAAAATGCTTGTTTCTTACCCATCCATAATATTTTTATTTACTTCTTTTCCGATATTTCTTTTTCACTGTGAAAAAAAAAAAAAATTGAAGCCAAAAAAAAAAGAAAAAAAAATGAAAGAAAAAAAAAACCAAACAGCTATCATAAAACAAATTTGTTTTTAATGAATTAAAAAAATATTTGATTTATAATTCTTCGAAATAGGCGACTTTTGCAGTACTCTGTTTCTCCACAAATGTTACATATATAATAAACGTACAGATATGTGTTTATACTTTTATGCATTTATATACACTTCCTCACATCCACTGCTGTGTTTCGCAATTTTGTGAAAGATTTACTGCTGAATTAACTGTCGTTTAATTTTTCCCCCCCTCTTCATTTATTTCATCTATAGTGAATTTCTATTTCCCCCTTTGGTATATTTTTGTTCTGCAGCTGAGCAAATATACCAAAATATTTTTCCTCTCATGAGCAGCAGCCGCCTTGTCGGTTGAGTTTGAAGGGCCCCTCCCCCCTTCTTAAACATCCCCGCAAATATATAAGCACGTACAAACTTGTGCACGTCCGCAAAGGAATAACCACTTGTACAAAAGTGTACCCCAATTATATACATATGTGCAAACATATGTACATATACATATGAACTGCGCTTAACACTGAGGGGATTTTTAAATGAATAACATACGAAAAAGAAATGGTAAGTGCAAGCAAAAAGGATCACGGGTGGTAGAATGAGAAAAAGTGCAAAAACGTGGAAAAACGCGAGGAGCCAATCGAGGACAACTATATCACACCGTCGCAAATAATGAAAAACTTCATATACCTTTTCGAACTGCTAAAAGGGATCATTTCCTGATAAAATCGTTATGCACTTTTTCTTTTCCCCTCCTTCCCATGTAGATGCAAAAAATTATTACAAGTTTAAGGAAACGGATGAGGTAAACTTGAAAAATGAATGGGCTTGTTGTGCTAGAGCCTCATGAGGGGAAAAATTCTTGAAACTCTCATTACATATTCAGAAGGGGGGCATAAATGTTAAGTTTGTCTGCACATTTGTAGCTACGAACGCGTGATGTTCCAGGGGGACATATATACATATATACATTTTTATTTTTTTTTTCCCCCTTTGAAGGACAAAAATGGCAGTGGAAGCATGAGCAGGTCACAGTCGCATGGTAAATATTCGCGAAAAAAAGACAATTCCGTTTGCGAAAGAGGGGAAAAATAGCGTCAGGGAGCATGTAACCCATTCGATTACTTGCCGCTTTTTTTGTGTGTTCATTTCGCTTCCCTGCTTGTTACACACCGTGCTCATTCTGTTCCGCAACCCCTCTTATAGAGAACAACCAGATAATCCCGAGGTACGACTACGAAAGTGACCGAGAAGAGAAAAGCCTAATCAGTAACATATTTTCCACGAGGAAACCCAAACATGCGGGTGCCGGATTAGTGTCAGGGCTAAAATCAGTAACAAAAGGGATAATCGTGGGGACAAGTTTTTTGTTTATATCCCCCTATTTATGTGCCAAAGCAGAAGGAATTAATGGGTTCTTCAAAGGGATGTTTTTTGGCCTCCTAAGTGCAATAGTCATCCCGATCATCTCACTGGGAGTGGCTAGTTACCAAATTGGCAGGGGTATAATGAACACCCCAGAATCGATAGCTCAGAGGGCGCTGGGAAAAATCTGGGATGATGAAAAAAGGGAGTGGTATGATTTTTACTACAATTTGGATGAGGAAGCGAATAAAGTGTTAAACGAAATTAACGACGGCGGTGGCAATGGAAATGGTGGAAACAGTAGCAACACTGGTAACGGCACGTATGAGAGGAAGAATGATGTAAATGACGATGAGTATTATAATAAGAATGGAAACATAAAAGTTAAGAATGATGAATTTTACAAGATTTTACAAGTGCCGACGAATGCTAGCCAAAATGAAATTAAGAGGCAATACTATAAGCTAGCCAAAGAATACCATCCAGATAAATGCTCGGATTCGAAGGCGAAAGAGCAGTTCCAAAAAATTGGGGAAGCATACCAAGTTCTCGGTGACATAGAGAGAAGAAGAAGATATGATAAAGAAGGCAAGAACGCTATCAACAGCATGCAGTTCATCGACTCTACCTTTTTTTTTACCCTACTCTTTGGTAGCGAAAAGTTGGACCCATACATTGGAAAACTCAGAATGGTGATGTATGTAGAGTATGAACAAATATATAAAGATGAAGACGTGCAGAGAATTATTGTCAAAGAACAGAATAAGAGAGAAGTCCAGCTAGCACTTCACCTGAGAGAAATATTAAATAATTATATCCACGGGAATAAGGAGGAATATATTGCAAAATTTGAAGAAGAAATTAAAGACCTATGCCAAACTTCCTTCGGACATGTCATTCTGGGAAATGTCGCCTGGTCCTATGAAAATTGCGCCAACCAATTTTTAGGAGATAAATATAGCCTATTCGGGATCAGTGGGAAGTACTATAAAATGCAACAGAAAAAGAGAGTAATTGGTACAGGGTTTAAATTCGTAAAAACGTTAATTAAGACCAGCTCCTTGGCTAGCCAAATTAAGAAAAAGGAAGAGAGTGAAGATATGTCGCTCGAAAAAACAGCTAAAGTGAATAAAAAAATTGAGGACTCCCTTCCAGCTATTGTCGAAACGATGCTCAACATTTGCCTCATCGACATCGACCAAACCATAAAGGGCGTGTGCAAGAAGGTGTTCACGGACATGTCCGTGGACGAGAACATGCGCAAGACCCGGGCGGAGTCCCTCATCGTGCTGGCCAAAGTGATGAAGAGAATCATCCAGGATTTTAAGAAGAACAACGAGGTCACGGATACTAAGAAGCTCTTCGAGGATGCGTGCATGAGGTGGGCGCGGATGAGAGTCGCAAATAAGATGCGCAGATAAGAAGAGCTGATCCGTGGTTTCGCCCGTGTGTATATAGTGAAACGCCCCCCTTCATGCGCATTTATTTTAACCCTCTTGTGCTCCATGTTTTTTCATTTTTTCCCTCTTTTTTTTTCCACCTTAGGGCCTACCAGAAACAGGATGACGAGTACAACTGAATTCGGTCTGTCCGCGCAGCACCCTCGCCTTGGTGACACTTTTTTTTTTTTTTTTTTTAGTATCCAAATAATTTTCAACCACTGTAGATTATAATATCATAGAAAATTGCGAAAGTAAAAGCATTTTTTTATCAAGTAGAGATTAAAATGTTTTTAACGTGTTTGAGCGGGCATATGTACCTGTTTATGGATACATATGCGCCTGTGTGTATATGTGCATATGTACGTATGTATCTATGTTGGTGGGTAGACACGTGCATATGCTTATAACATATGTGTATGTCGACGCGCAGCGTGAGCTCCTCCTTCCTTTCGCCCGCGCAGGAGGTAAATTGCCAGCCGCATAAAAAAAGTATCGTTTAGCGGCACTCATGGCGCAAATTAGCCCTGGCCAGCTTTGTACATGTGGCTATGTATACACATACATATAAATATATATATATGCATAAGCGTATATAAGGGTGTGTAGATTCCGCTGGCGCACATGCCCGCGTACTAGTGCGGGTTAAATTGTATGAAGCGAGAGTAACCCATGAGAGGAATGTGCGGGTGACAAGGAAGAAGTGGAGCAGCGAGATGAAGAAGCCGAGGGAGGTGCACGCAAATACGCAGGGTTGTCATATTGTGTATGCCTAAAATTATTTCTCCCGCCTGCTTTTTTTTTTTTTTTGTAGAATAAGAGTACTTTAAATTTACATACAATATATATGTGCCTAGGCCCACCTATATACACGAAAAAAAAAAAAAAATTATTTCCCTCGGGTATCCTACATTTCGCTGTTTTATCATGTTTCTGTTAAAAACAACTTCAGATGTTATAATATGTTTTATTCAAATTATTTTTTTCTTCTTTTTCTTTCACATTTTTTCTCTTTTGCCGAACCATCACAGGGCCCCTATTCCTCGTGTGCAATTTTTAAAACATAGACATTGACATAGCAGCGCATGTTGCTGTTCTTTTGGTCCTCTGGCCAGCATATCTGGAGGTGTTCTGAGAAGGTGAAAAAGGGAGAACAATTCTTTAACCTCACAGGGTTAATGAGGCCAAGCGGTTGAGCAGTTGAGCGGTCAACTTGTTTTGCCTTTAACACTCTTTTAACGCTACGCAGTTGCAAATGTGCGTGCATGCGCAAGTGGTTTTCTTTTTTTCTTTAAGTATAACTATCCCCCGTGTCCCAGTAGGTAGAAAATCGAAGAGCCGCTTCCGTGTTTGCGCTTTTTAAAATGTAGCAACTTACTGAAGGGGGAAGAAGAAAAAAGATACGGACAGGTGTGTACAATTGAAGAGTATCGCTAGTACCATTTCGACGAGTTATTATTACAACATTGGGCAATTCGCGAACAGGTACAGTGATGAGAACAAAAGGAACCATGTAAGGTGGGGGATGTGCTTTTTTTTCTTTTCTTTTTCCCACATTTGCATCGATTCGCATGAGAATTTTGTATCTACTAGCTTAAATGTATGCATGCATACTTATGTACTTCGCGGGTAACAATTTGGAGTACAGAAAATCCATGGACGTTTCGCAGATAACATTTGACCACTGGTTTATCTGAACGCACGAAAAGGGGTTGAAGGGAGAAGGGGGCAAAAAATTAAAATTTGCCAACAGGAAAGTAATCAAGAGTGTTATTCTCTGACTGGGGGAATCATGCATTGCGAGGGACGCCAGCTGGGCGGAAGTTTAAATTTGCGTCTGTTACAGCGTCAAGGTGGATATTATGTTGTCATTTTGCTACATCGCTACTTCTCTATTTTGGGTTTTTTTTTTTTTTACTTCACTGTTGGAGTAGGTTTTATTCCTCAAAACGTCTTACGTTTGGGAGGGCAATACAAGACGCATTCATTGTGAAGTGTATTTGTGAGTGCGCGGAAACATTTTGCGAATTTCGTTCATGTAACGCGCTCGCTGAACTGGTTGCCCAACTCATTCGAGCGGCTCGCCCCGAATTTCACGTGCGCACGTCGCGCCATTTTCCCCCTTCCAATTTGCCTTACCATCGACTATGGAATAGATTCGCTCGGCGCATTCCTTTTCCTTCCCAGGTAGCTGGAAAAGAAAAGAAAGACGAAAAAGTACAATTAAGAATTTTAAATTTTGACATTCAAAGGGGATGAAGCAAAATGGATGAAGAAAAAAAAAAAAAAAGTATAACATCGTTTTCCATTCTGGCAGTGATTATTTTGTAGGAAGTAAACGGAACAGCGAGGTATTTCGCTCATAACAGTTAATTCCACGTTGAATGTCTTAGAGGGATTCACTAAAAGGAATAACGTCTTATATAAAAAGGGACAAAGGGAAAATGGTGAAAAGGCGCAAAAAGGTGTGGAAAAGAATGGGGAAAATATTCGCCTCTTCCCTTTTTAGCGATATGGCTTCTTATGGGGAATCTTTACTTCAATATGGTAAGTAACATTTGAAGACGCTTTTGACACCTTACCGAGTGGGCACACTCGAGGCATTCTTTGATTAAATTAGATGGTTGAATGGAATTTATTTTATGTGTGGCAATTATAAATGCTATGGGCATTGCGTCCTTTCCCGGTTTTGCGCTTCGTCGTCCAAACTATGGTTCCCGTCGCTGAATTTTGCTTCGCCATTTTGATATTTTTTTTTTTTTTTTTTTTTCAGCGCAACATTGGTTAGCCATCTTTTCTCAACAAGAACTACTCCTTGATTGATTTCGCTAAATGAACTGTGGCGTTTATTTTAGTTCCATTCGAAGCTTCAGCTTTGCCCCTTAAAAAGGCGCAGTTTTAACGTACACAGGAAACGAAGGCGGAAAAATAGCCCAAACGGGCAAGATAGTCAAAGAGGAAAAATAGTCAAAGAGGCAAAATAGCCAAACAGTGCCAGTAGCCAAAAGGATGTCGATCAAATCGCCGTGCCTGGAAATCCTTCCCTTCATATTTAGGGAGGAACAAATAAGTAACAGAATTCAGACCTTCCCGACGGAGACCATGAAAAAAGCATACTTAGAATTGAAGGGATATTTTGAGCAATACAAAATTTACGCAGAGTAATATTTTAATGAAACTGCATCGTTACGATGCACTGTTACAGGAGAAGAATACTTTGTCTTCTCAGTGTAAATGATTCGTTGTGTGTAGGATTCCGTTTCGCATCTCGCTTTTCTTGGCACACGCATGTCAAAGGGATTCCTCTGTACCTTCCCTGCCACGTGTGTGCTGTGCGGCTCCAGTGTGTGTCTCCCGCTGCCACAAATTCGTTTCTTCTCCCCCCTTTAAGGAAATTAATTAACTTTAACGGGTCAATGAATGACGAAAATCAGAGAAAAGAAAAAATGACAATTAAGTTGAGATGCGAATATTACGCAGTCCTCTTCTCACAGGCGTCTAAGCTTTTAAACGAATACATGTTAACTTAAAAAATAAATGGAACGAAACGGGGTTGTGAACGAGCGAGAGGAAGGAGTATATCTCCAAAATGAATAAGCAATATACACTATAAAAATCCCGCCTTTCCCCCCCCCCCTTTGCATCCCCCATATAGAAACTTTAGAAACAGACTTATACTCGAATTGGCCATCAATGTGAACGGCTTGATGAACTCCATACACCCCAACATAATACAAAGACTTAATGAGGACGAGAAAAGGGAATTGCAAAGATGTTGCGAAGTACGCAAGCGGAAAACTCGCACCGTTTACACCCTTTTAGTGATATAAAAATGGTGTAGATGGAGGGTTCCCCACACAGGTTGTCACTACAGAATTTTAATCGTCATTGCATTTGTTGCTTTATTTGCTACTTTACCTTGTCTTATTTTTTCTTTGCAGAATATCCGTAGCGAAAGGATCAAGTCGAAGCTAGAAAATGTAAGAGGGTTCCCTTCCCGAACAGTTACCTTTAAGCCAAATACACGCTATGCACATTTTGAAAAGTGCTCCTCGTTGCAGCATTCTTAAATAGAATGTGTATTAAGAGAAACGTCGTCGATTTATGCAAGTGACATTCCACGCATGATAAAGGAGCGATTAAATATGACACACTTTTTTTTTCTTTCTTTTTTTCCCTCCCTCTATAGAAATTTACCGTATGTTTCTTGAACGACTTAATTATAGAAGACTTAAATTACGAAGGAAATGAAAACGAAAGCGCAGCTCGAAATGTTTTCTACGCAGCGGGACTGAAAGTTAGCGTTTTTGAGGATAAGGCTCTGGATTTACAAAAATGCGAATGGGCAAGAATCTTAAGGGACTAAATATAGGAAGAAAAAATAGATGGCATCATAGCAGGGACTCTGCACAAAATGATGCTCACGTGTGATCAAATTACGCAAAGCTGCAGATACCTTTCCTTTTTGTTTTTTCCTATTTTTTTCTCCTTTTGCGCTTTTTTAGTTTGACCTTTTTAACAATTTTTTTTATGCATGCCAGTAAGTGCATCGCGCAGTAGTGCAAATATACACGCGCGTGATACTTCACCACAAAATTATTCCAGTTTAAGGACAGCAAAATGAACAATTTGCCATTTTTAATTCATTCGCTCGGAAAACAGTTTTAGAACAAAATATGGGCAAATCGGTGAAAAGGGCTGTGTGTTCAAAGAAAACAGCATAACATTTTAAAGGGCCCATAAAAAGAGAAAGGTTGCCAATTCGCCTCTTCCTTCTCATTCTTTTTACTATGGGGAAAATATGTGTACCCCTTTAATTAGTGGCTACGGTTTAGTGCAATTTGTTGGGAATGTGAAAGGTGGGGCTAACTCCTTTTACGCGTTAACCGTTGTAAACCCTAATCGGTAGGAAGCTCTAAAATACGCGAAAAGGGAGACATAGAAAAATGATTAACGCGAGGGTACAATTTGACTTTGATTACTACATATGGCGAAATAAACAAGATAGAACAATATGAAAAAAGAATTTGTACTTATAAACTGACATCAGTGCGAGTGCGGCTTGCACAACATAGTGGGTAGACATTTTCGAAAAAAAAGCAAACTAAAAAATTAAACAAAGAAATGTCTCAATAGGCGGGTAAAAGAAAAGAAAAAAGCTGGCAGCAACTGTGGTTATAGACAGATTATTACACGAAGTAGGGGATAAGCGGATAAAAAATGGCCATACAGAAGACACCTATATCACTACGTCTAGCAACTCACAGCTGTTCGTTCCCTCCTTACTGTTGATAACTTCGTCCGTATCCTTACCCCACACTGATAGGACATGAAGCCCAAAAAATTCATGCCTCCAGTAGTCAGCACCGGGACCCGTATGCGGCCATGGACCCACCTTCTAGGGTGAGTAAGGCATCAACCCCCCTAGCACACTGCCCTACAATTCCGTCTGATCGCACGGTAACTTTTGTTGATGCAGACACCCGAAATAATATCACTCTATAATGTGCAATACCACGGGGTCTACATCGTTACGTGCGATGAAATCAGCACTATCTTCAAAACTATGCAGAGTCTGCAATCCTTGCGTATTTTTCCAATTGCTTCTTCACCGGAACACACAATACTAGCTATGGCAGAAATGCGCAAGCATGAACTATTCCTATGAGCCGCCTCAGTTCATGTGGCCGCCATTGAACTCATTGTTTTATATTACGTGATGCAACTTGGTCAATTTCGCCAATATATGTTGTTATAGTCATGGAGAGATCCTAACCTCTATTAGAATCACCGCTATCGCGCGCATCCTCTGTTGATGTCGCCACTACTGCTTGTATAGCGTTTGGCTACCCTTAGGTATCACCTGCTGCATCTTTCCCCCCAGTTACTGAATGGTGTTGTCTCCTTAATTGATGTGTCACGTATTATGTTAATAGTTAGTGCCCTCCCTACAGCGTTATACTTTCTTCTTCAGTAATAATTATATATATATGCGTCCTAACAGGATGAATAACATATTGTGCACCATTCTGAGGTTCTAAAAAATGGTCTAACTTGAGAAATACTCATCCCTTTCCAACTTTCCCAACGAGACGGGCAACAGTTCGTAGATCGATTCCTTGGCCTTAAGATACGCAAGCGATGCTCGATAAAAATACCCACGACAGTGCTGGTGTTTACCTATTACCAACGAAACAGAGAAGGATTTGTTATACTACACTTTGGAACCACTTTTGTTGGCGCTAGAATACGAGTAACTCACATATAATCATGATCACATACAGATTTTGGAGATCTCAAAGAATAAGGAATTTCCGCCCCGAAAGGATTATAAATATATAATCTCCTGAGGATCTTCAAATGGAAAATCCGGAACTGAACACCGAAGATTTTCTTGAAGCACTGTTGCACGCAACTATGACATATCATAGTGACACGTCTGATATTAGCTTAGGTAATGATTTTATCGGTGCAGACAACCGCACCTGTTATAAATGCATATACATCATCATCAGGGGGAGAGCCTCGAATGTAAAAACACAAATACTTCTTCCATAACTCCCAAGAGAAGAATTGCTGTTTCCGTTTCCATAAGGAATCGAAAGATTGAAACAGATGCTCTCAATAAAATAAGCAGTTGCAATTCCAATCATCCATAGGGGCGCCATGTGATTCCCTCTGAGATGTGTAAGAAAGTATATGCGAAAAGCGTTTTACAAAAGAATGCACACATATGCAATGATACGTACAGGGGACCCTGTTTCATAAGCTGAAAGAGCAGTTTCCTAAGGAAACAAT